GTACAATATTCCTGGTACTGTACTACCTGGATTAGATGCAATCACTTGTTTACTTAACATTTGTGGGGTAAATGAAACAACAAATTTCACAGATAAATTTTTATAAAACTTCCCTTAATAAAATGCAGTGGAATAACCAGACTAATTAGTTTCATTTATTTAAAGTGTATTCCAGTGAAGACTAGCCTGGACAGTTCAGGTGCAGACTCCTGTTGGTTTGTAGAATTCGAGTATTTACAGAAATGTATTGACTGCAAAAGTTAAAAATTCTTTCAGTTCTAAACATTGTTTTAAATGTACATGTGATACATATGTGCAAAAAATTCAAGCAACATCTGGGTCTCCCCGGTGGCGCAGCGGTTGAGCGCTGGGTTGCGAAGCTGCCCGCAGCCTCTGCGGCGCCGGTTCGATCCCGGGCTGCTCCCCGGCCGCCGGAGGAGGGTCCCACATGGCGCGCAGACCTCTCCTGCCGCCCGCTGCTCCCCTCAGCAGTGTACTTCGGCCCTTCTGCCTGCTCTGCTCCCCACTCTGGCTCTGGTGAATTCTCTCACCCTCCCGCGCTTCTGACTGTACCCAGGGCATGTATCAACAAACAAACAAATAAATAAATAAATGAAAAACATGCCTCTATAAAAAAAAAAAAAAAAAAAAATTCAAGCAACATGAATCCATAAAACAAAAAAAAACCTCACTTTGAGTCTCCAGGAGTACACATTGTGAGAAAGTTGGATTTTTCTTCTAGAGATCTACAGGTGTCAGTGTATCTGTCCTCACACACTCACACATGCACACACTTGAATACAATACACACGTGCGTAGAGTTACATTCTGGTTCCTGTCCACAGAAAGAGCCATCACTTTTAATCATATGCTTGGCTGAAGGATTCAGCTGGTAGACCACATGGACCAATGGAAAAATTCTGTTTTGGGGAAGTTCTCCATATGCTGTAGGAGCGGATGAGCCCAAAGAGACCTTTGCCAGGACATTTTCCAGGACTGCCCTAAAGGAGCAGTGAGGCAGGTCAAACTCCAGGTCTCTGGGTCACTACTCACTCCCCAGGACCTGGGCAGCAAACCACCCATTCCTACTTCCCAGCAGAATAGTGTGTGAGGGGAAAGCTCAAGTAGAAAGGCAAAGCCCTTGCTGTTGGTTGCTGCAAATCCCTAGTAGCACAGAGGTGGTCAGTCCAAAAGTCCACTGGTCATAAGAAAAAGGAAATGGAGAAGAGAAATATTCATGAAGGGAATTAAAATAAATATCATGTGTATTTTGAGAATTATAAGCAAAGTAATCACAAAGAACAAGAATTTATGAAGATAGACTAGAAAGAAGTGGAAAAAAAAGAGGTGAATGTAAGCAATGTGGCATAATGATTAAGATGAAAATTTTACTCCATTTCCAGAGAAAAACACACAAACAGTTAAAGAAAAAATTCATAAGCAGATGACATAAAAAATGACTTAAGATGGCACACAACAAAAAGGGATAATGAAGCAAAAATCAAAGAGGTGAGGCATGCATGACCAACAGCATTACAAGCTCAAATATCCATCAAAAACGAGTGCAAGATTGGGAAAAATAGAATGGAAGTGCTATTTGGGGGACAGGAAAGACAGGGAATTTTCAGAAACAAAAATATGGTTAGTCTTAAAAAAGAAAATTTGCAAATCCTGAGCATGATATAGTCAAAGCACACACCACTAGCGACATGGTGGAGAGATGTTTACAATAGAATATTAAGGGTAAAGAGGAATGTCCTAAAAGTTTCTGTGAAGAAAACATTATTTACAAAGAGATCAGAGAGTGATATATATGAATCTTCTTAGTACAACATTAGGCTGTAGAAGTTTATAAAATCGAAGATGAAGAAAGGAGAATAGTAAAAGAAACTAAAGGAAAAAATGAAAAGATCAAATTCTAATAGTAAGATATTTTTAAAGAAAACAGGACAAAGAAACAACAAATGTTAAACAAGTAAGCTAAACAGTTTAGTAACAGGTTAGCAAATATGACAGAAATATAATTATTGCAATATAAATCAAAAGGAAAAGTCCTGAGGAAATACCAATAAACAAACTTGAGTTGCATTAACCAAAACAAAACTACATTTTTTTTTTTTCTGGATAGAAAATATCTTCAGGGAGGAAAGGAAAAGAGAGAAAATGGAGACAGACAGATGGGTATAAGTTAGGAACACGTGTCTTCACAAAATCTGTGGGGTCTCCTGTTAGCTCTTCTGCAGGGAGAAACAAGATGCTGACTCTAATGTGGGGCTGGGAAACACTGGCCCCTTACTTTAAACCTGCAGGCAACAACCTCTCGTGTCTACACTTACAGTCTCAAGGGTAGTGGGTTTTTATTTCAAACAGGTGGTAGTTGGGTGTGGTGTTGTTGGGTGGCCCATGCAGCTGTTAACATTGCCTCTAAATCCTTCCCCCACAACTGGAGTATGGGGATATTGTGAGAAGTTGGAGAAAATCGTAAGTATCCATAGAATTTAAAGGCTGTTCGGTAATCCAGGACATAGGGCGTGACTTTATAAATGAGTATGATAATTAGCAATTTAGCTAGAATTGCCTCTAATGCAAATGCTAGGGTAACTGGCTCTGGATTTCTCACTTCAACAATGGTTTAACTTTTTTTTTTCAAATATAAAAAAAGAAAAGAAAGGAGAGAAAGGAAAAAAGAAAAAAAAAAACTAGAAAGAGAAAGGGAAGCATAGGGAAAAACCCTCTAAAGCCAATGGGGCAAATCTAGTCATCCCTATAGAGAGTAAATGCCATTTTCTAATCACTGATTTTTATATTTGGTGACAACATTCTTGGAGGTATAACCGCAATAGTAAGCAAGTATTACTGCAAAATTTAGTAAACAATTGAAAAGTCTTTATGTTTGCTTTTCTGGGGCTCTGCTTCCTATGTCTTAAGAACTGCATAAAACACTGTAGGAGAGAATATGACACAGAAACCACTACTTCTAGACTTGAGTGCCATCAAACTAAAAAAGATAAACTGTTTAGGGAGATCTGTCATAAGCTGGGCAAACCTAATTAAATTATACCCCAACTCAAAACGATACTTGATCTATATAGTCTCTTCATAAATGTGTAGAGTTCCCACCTGGATATGCGCATGTTTATGTTCTTTTGTACTTTTGGCAACAAATGTTATTATATCTACTTTCCCATAGCTTTCCACTGTTAATGGAGTGGGAAATAAAATATGCTTTCTTAACTTCCCTTGGGCTTTTAGTAAAGTTAGACATGACCAGGCAAGCAGCAATGGGAAACAATGAGAAACGAATGGCAAATTCTTGCAAGTCAAGTCCTTCCTTAAGGTCAGCTACACCAAAACACTGCACTGCAGCTAATAATAATCAAAAAGAAATAAACAAAGACTTATAAGCTTCCTCAGCCCACCATAACCCAAGCTCTGTATCCCTCGCAGATGGGCCACTGCCAATGTTAATCTTATTTAGTAGAGGAAAACATGAAAACTACCATTGACAAACTGCCTAAGTATGAGTTCTTTAAGGAAAGGGGTTGTATCTTGTTGGTACTTTGAATCCTTAGACAGAAAACAACATCTGGTTATGTTGCACAAATACAACATAATTCTGCTTCAAATGTATTTGTAACACAAACACATACATTTCTGTCAACCTTCATCACAGAAAAGATCAAAACAGTGCCATTGCACAAAATTCTGGACCCTCCACAAAATGGAGAACTCTGTTTCAATGTCTTCTCTGGTTTTCCAGGTTGAGACTCTGAAGAGTATGGACTCCTGCCCACCCTTTCTTTAATCACTGGGGCACTGAAGCATCTTCATTTTCAAGTGGTGCAAGAAAGCAGAAAGATTTGTGTGAGAAATAGTACTAGGGAGCTATAAAATATCCAAGTGGAACATTTTGTTCTTATTATTTTGTCATTAACATTTTTCACTATGGGAATTAAAGACCAAAACAATTTTTAAAATAGAATTAATGGCCCACGAGAGGCAATGTAATGAGTGAAAAAAATCAGGAGTCTCTCTACAAAATATGAGTGACTGAACAATACACTAGAAGGATCAAACACTGTGATCAAATGGCACTTACACCAGGAATACAGTGATGATTCAATATATGCAAATCAATGGATGTGATATATCCTATCAACAAAATGCAGCATAAAAACCATTTGATCACCTCAATAGATGCAGGAAAAGCATCTGGCAAGGTTCAACATCCATTTATGATAAAAAATGCTGAATAAAATGGGTATAAAAGGAATGTACCTCAACATAATAAAAGCCATATATGATAAATCTACAGAGCATAACACTTAATGGTGAAAAAAATTAAGGCTTTCCTCTAAGATGAGAAACAAGGATCTCCACTCTTTGCCATGATTATTCAACATAGTATTGGAAAACCTAGTCAGTGAGTAGATAAGAAAAAGACATAAAAGGCAGCTTAATTGCAAAGGAAGAGGTAAAACTGTCACTACTTGCAGATGACATGATTTCATAATACCCTAAAGACTCCACTAACAAACTATTAGAAATAATAAACGAATATTAGTAAAGTTGCAGTTTACAAATCAATATACAACATTTTGTTCTCTTTCTATATGTAAGCAACTATTAGAAAAAGAAATTAAGAAAACAACCCCATTTAGGGGCCTCTCTGGTGGCGCAAGGGATTAAGATGCAACCCATGAAGTTCTCTGCTGCCACTGCAGCACGAGTTCGATCCCTGGCTAGCCAGAGAGCTACCCACATGGCGCAGCAGACCTCTCCTGTCTCGCCCGCTGCTCCCCTCAGCAGTGTATTTCAGTCAGTCTGTCTGTTCTGTTCCCCCACTCTGTCTTTGGTGAATCCTCTCACCCTCCCTCGCATCTGGCCTATACCCCAGCTCTTGTATGCATAAACAAATAAATCTTAAAAAAAAAAAAGAAAACAACCCCATTTATAATCACATCAAAAATAATAAAATACCGGGGATGGGCGTGGGCAAGATGGCGGCGCACAGCTTCCCCACGCCGCTGCATGGGCACGTGGGCCGCGGCGCCTTCAGGGACGTGTACGAGCCCGCGGAGGACACGTTCCTGCTGCTGGACGCGCTGGAAGCCGCGGCGGTGGAGCTCACGGGAGTGGAAATATGCCTTGAAGTGGGATCAGGGTCGGGAGTTGTATCCTCATTCCTAGCCTCTATGATAGGTCCTCAAGCTTTGTACATGTGCACTGATATCAACCCTGAGGCAGCAGCTTGCACCCTGGAGACAGCATGCTGTAACAATGTTCATCATCAGCCAGTAATCACAGATTTGGTCAAAGGCTTGCTACCAAGATTAAAGGAAAAAGTTGATCTTCTGGTGTTTAATCCCCCCTATGTAGTGACTCCTCCTGAAGAGGTAGGAAGCCATGGAATTGAGGCCGCTTGGGCTGGTGGCAGAAAAGGTCGAGAAGTCATGGACAGACTCTTTCCACTGGCTCCAGATCTCTTGTCACCTGGAGGCTTATTCTACTTAGTTACCATTAAAGAAAACAATCCAGAAGAAATTTTGAAAACAATGAAGACAAAAGGTCTACGAGGAACCACTGCACTTTCCAGGCAAGCAGGTGAAGAAATCCTATCAGTCCTGAAGTTCACCAAGTCTTACTGTACAGTCTGCTGGATATCTTGAAAATCTAGAGATATGTTTTGATTGATATGTTTTATACTGAATATATTGAATATATGTATATTGAATATATGTAGAAGCTGAAGGTATTCAGCATATTTTGAAACTAAATCATTTCTTAATGAGTAAAATTATGAGAAATTCATAGATAGAATCAAGAGTTCATAGGTAGAATCAGGAGTTCCTTTTTTTTTTTTTTTTTTTGAGTGTTCTGATTTGGGTATTTTATTTTAGAAAGCTGAAATCAAGCAGGGATGTCAAAGAAAATAAAATGGAATATAAATCATCATGTCCAAAGGCAAAAAATAGTATGAGCAACATTTTAAACTCACACACACACAAAATCTAGCAATGATTATTAGTATTTTAACTAAAAGGGAATTTTATATCAAAGTGACTAAAAATGCCCCAAGTTTAGGGATTTAACAGGTCCTTTTGATGATGAAAAAGAATGGTAGAATCAGGAGTTCCTTTTACCCAGGAGAGATCTATCTTATTTGTACAGGCACACACACACACACACACACACACACACACACACACACACACGTGATCTAATTTACATTTTATATGTAAATTGTATTTATAAATTAAAGAAGATTCAGCTCACCATTACCTGTAATAGCAGAACAATGAAGTCAACCTAAATGTCCCATCAGTAAAGGGTTTGGTAAATCATAGTATAGCCATGCCACAGAGCATGAGTAACATTCCCAGCCCCTAAACATGAGTCAGGTATATAGTGAACCAGAAAGAGTTCACAATGTACTTATGAGTGAGAAAAAGCAAACTGCAGAATAGTACTATCAATATGTATATTTTTGAAAAGTCAGAGAAGGCATGTTTGAATGTGTATATAAGAAAGTCTGGGAAGTTAAACAATGGGTGGGAATGGAGAAACTTTCACATTATTGTAATATTTATACAATAATAATATATTTTATATAAAAAATTAATAAAATACCTATGCATAAATTTAACTAACCATAAAGGTGAATGATCTATACACTGAAAATAAGACAGTGATGAAAGAAATGAAGAAAACATGAAGAAAAGGAATGATATTCCATGCTCATGGATTTGAAGAATTAACATTGTTAAAAAGATCATTTTACCTAAAGTAATCTATGAATGCAATGCAATCTCTATACCAGTAGTGATTTCATAAAAGGAGAATTAAAAACCCTAATATTTGTGGGGACCCACAAAAGATCCTGACTACTTCAACAATACTAGAAACAAGAAGAAAAACAGAAGTATCATCTTCCTAACTTCAAACTACGTTACAAAGCTGTAGTAAGCAAACAGTGTGGTATTGGAAATGATTTTCAAGTGGTGGAAGAAAGCAGAATACACGGCTAATACACAGCTAATAGAACATAACTGAGAGCTCAGAAAGAAACCTACAGATATATGGACAACTAATTTACAACAAAGGAGTCAAAAATATACAAATGAGAAAGGAAAGTCTTTTCAATAAATAGTATTGGGAAAACTAGACAGTCACATGCAAAAGAATAAAATGAGACTACTATCTAATACCATACACAAACATTAATTTAAAATGGATAAAAACTTGAATGTAAGATCTGAAGCCATAAAATACACAGAACAGAACACAGGTGGTTAGCTCCTTCACATCAACCTTAGTGAAGTACCTATTTGTGGATTCAATCCCACTAGCAGTGGAAATAAAAACAAAAGTATACGAATGGGGCAATATCAACTAAAAAGCTTCTGCAGAGGGGGAAAAAAAAAACAATCATGAAAACAAAAAGGGAATTTACTGAATGGGAGAAGATATTTGCAAATCATACATCTGACAATCAGTTAATATCCAAAATAGATAAAGAATGCATACAACTCAACAGCAACCAAAGTAAGCAACCCAATTAAAAAAGACATCTAGTCAGTCAACAGGCAAATGAAGAGACATTAGCCATCACTTATTATTAAGGAATTTCAAATCAAAACCACAATGACATATCACCTGACACCTGTTAGAATGACTTTTCTTAAAATGTAAGAAACAACTAATTTTGGTGAGGATGTAGAGAAAAGAAAACCCTTGTACACTGTTGGTAGGAATGGAAATTGCTGCAACTCCTATGCAAAACACTATGAAGACTTCAAAAAATGAAAACAAGAACTACCATATGATCCAGCAATTGTACTTTTGCTTATTTAGCCAAAGATTACAAAAAAAAAAATTAAAAAAGATACATGGATCCCTGTGTTCATTGCAGCACTGTTTTTAACAGCCAAAGGAAATTACTTAAATGTCCATCCACAGAACAGATAAAGAACTCTGATAAATGCATACACATACAATGGAATATTAGTTGACCATAAAATAAAATGAAATATTGCCGTTTACAACAATGTGGATGGATCTTGAGGGTATTAGGCATAGTGAAACAGGTCAGATGGAGAAAAAGAACATCTGATTTCAGTCATATGTGGAATATAACGAAAGCAAAGCAAATGAGCAAACGATGCAAAACAAAAACAAAAATCTTAAGTAGAGAAAATAGCTTGGTGGTTACCAGAGGGAAAAGGACAAGGGAGACCAGCAGAATGGATGAGTTGAGTGAAGGCAGTCACGGGAATGCGGATGAATGAAAATTAACCTTTATGTGACAATCACTATGCAGTGTATAAAGGACTGAGTTACAGCACTGCACACATGAAACTTACACAAAGCTATAAACTAATATTATCTCGGCAAAAAATATTTTTTTTAAAAGCCAAGAGTCATTTGGAATCAACTTAAATGAACTGAATCACCTATACCAAGTCTTTGCTAAGCTTTAGCCATCTCAAAGTAAGACAGGTCTGGTCTCTGTTTCCATTGAGTTGACATTTTATAGGAGGTGACAGGCAAAACACCAACCAACTAAACGAACAAACAGGTAAACAAATATCTTATTGCATCATGGGAAGGAAGCAGAACTTTAGGATTAAATCGGCAGTGGGTCAGGGAACAAAAGGAACAGACTTTGAAGAGGTCACTGACTTTGGTGGATAAGCCAAGGTCAGAGGGGAGCCCACATCCTGGAGAATTCCAGAGTAATAAACATCTAGGTTTGAATATAAACGAGGTCATCTCTGAGCATAACTGGGTAAGTTCTCTTACTTGGGACTCAGTTTTGTATTTGTAAAATCAAAATAATAACAGCTGTGTTGAAAATTGGTGTGAAAGTTAAAGCTCTCAATGGCAAAACGGCAAAAGGCCCAAGACACCGTAGACCTTCAGGAATGCTGTTTCCATTCTCTGCCAACATTTTATACCGTTAGATGAATTACTTACAGAAGTCAAAGCAAGAACGGCACCAACAAAATGTTAACACTTGCCAAGGACAAGTGTCATTTTGTTCCAAGTAGTATTTACACTAAAAAAAAAAAATCTCTTCTGGAAGTTTAAACAGAATTCAGCTGTGCTCTAACAGCTGTGACAACCACAGATTACCATAGCTGCTTTTTAATCCAAGTGTATTTCGGGGGCTGCAAAAAAAATCAAAATTGAAATGTAACAGATTGAAGCCTTCTTGGTTAGTTTTCAGCAATAGATTAGTGTGTATTTAATCAATTGTTCAGCATGAGTTGATTTAATCTTTTTCTGCATTAAACCAACTCTTTCACGAGACTGCGCAAGCTGCTGTCTCACCACTAGGATTATTTGACTGTTGATACACATTTTGCACTTTAAAAAGCTCTACAGAAACATGTGCCTGTTTATATGACCTTTCATAACTCATTCCAGTGGGTTTTGTCAACCAATTGTAATGCTTGTTTTATTAACAAACAAGTAAGCTTGCTTTTTGGAGCAAGAACACTTAATGTATGAAATAATTAGAACAATTTAAATTGTGAGCAATCTCTGTTCACTAAAACATGTTCCCCTGTGACCAAATCACAGCCATAAAATGAGCCACAATAAAACAATCCCTGGGATTAGTAATCTGTAGAACTTCTGTAATCTGTTGAAAAATAAGTGGCTGTACATAGTATCACAGTATCTCTGGGGCAACACACAACACACACACACACACACACAGGTGGCATACACCAGAACCGATATGGTAACTGTTATTACATTAAGGCCTGAGGATATAAGCTAGGTGTGGATTCCCAAAGGATCAGGGATCCCCTAGACTTGTGCTCTTGCTTATAGCAGATCTTTGAGATATAGAAAAAAGACCTGCTTTTTCCCCGTCCTGTCTTGTATGTGAATAGTAAATGACTTATTTTTTCCTGGTGCCACTAGCTAGGGAGATCTCTAGTTAGAAAGACGGCGGTTGCTAGTGGGAGATGTTTCTATCCTTTATAGGTTTTCAGGGAAAAAGTGTCATTTAGGGCTCCTGGTGAGGCAGATAAGGAGAAAAAAGAAAAACAGAAGGTTGTTTCATTGGCGGGCATAGAAACCCAAGAGAAAACAAACTTGTGGCATAAATGAAGTGAAACAGTGAATTTACTCATTGTAGACAAAGGGTGAGTCATCAGGGCTAAACATTCTTTTAAAAAGTTCCTATCTTAAGGGAATGGGAAAGGAATTTTGTCTAAATTATTCTTAGGAATGCAAACTTTTTCGTGTGAGAATAAGAGAGAAAATGGAGATTTCCGTGGCTCCTCTCTAGTGGATACCTGTGAAGAATCGTGATGGCCAAGTGAAAAGACTCTTACCTTCACCTTTTTTTTTTTTTAAGATTTATTTTTATTTATACAATAGCTGGGGTACAGGCCAGAGTTGCGGGAGGGTTAGAGAATTCACCAGAGACAGCGGGGTAAAACAGGCAGACGGACCAAGGACACTGCTAAGGGGAGCAGCAGGCGAGACAGGAGGGTCTGCCATGCCATGTGGGTATCTCCCTGGCCGGCCGGGAATTGAACCTGCGCTTCAGAGGCTACGGACAGCTTTACAGCACTGTGCTCAACCCGCTGTGCCACAGGGGAGGCCCTTACTTTCCCCTTTCGTCAGCCAAATTGATGTCTCCATTTTATCTCTGCTATTGACAATTCTTGCCTGGAAGTACTTCAATCCATTAAAATCTAACTTCCATATGGAAATGTAACTGATTTTTGTAAATTGATTCTGTACCCTGCCTTGCGCTGTACTGGTTTATTATTTCCACTAGTTTTTTAGTGGAGTCTTTTGTGGGAATGCAG